ACCAGAAACACATCAAAAATTCTTTTTTGATGAATCTATAAAACCTATTGTCGATGGTATATATCATAAAGAAAACATTACTTTTGTTGATGACAACTTATATGATCATTTACCGAATGATTTCTTTTCTAGATGTCATCGGGGGTTATAACGGTACTGTATTTGCCTATGGTCAAACGGGTTCCGGTAAAACGCATACTATGATGGTTAGTTGAATAAATTTACTTTACTTTGGAATGTTTATTCATTTGATCGAACTCTGACTTTCATTATTAAAATTCATACTTTAATAGGGAGACATGGATAACGAAGAATTTAAAGGTCTTATACCTCGTATTGTGGAACAGATCTTTCACAGTATCATTTCTTCTCCATCCACAATGGAATATACCGTAAAAGTCTCTTATATGGAGATTTATATGGAGAAGATTCGTGATTTACTTAATCGTAAGTATTTCAGTTTATGCAAAAAAAAAAATAATGTTTACGATGAAATTATTTCCTAGATTAACATCCATCACGTTTGTTCTTAATAATTTTTAGCCCAAAACGACAATCTTCCTATCCATGAAGAAAAGAATAGGGGTGTATACGTTAAGGGTCTTTTGGAGGTCTATGTCAGTTCCGTACAAGAAGTGTATGAAGTAATGAAACGTGGTGGTAACGCTCGTATTGTAGCTTATACAAGTATGTTTTCATTTTAATTATTTTATAATTAACTTTAAACAATGTAAGTAAATAACCTAATACATTTTAATTACAGATATGAATGCCGAAAGCTCTCGATCACATTCAATCTTTGTTATTACTGTAAATCAAAAGAATCTCAGTGATGGAAGTGTAAAGAGTGGTAAACTATCTCTTGTCGATTTGGCAGGTTCTGAAAAGGTTTGTAATTTAAATTAAGATGAAATTTAATATATGAAAAAAAGTTTTTTAATAATTCGCGATTTTTATTTCACGAAAATAGGTCGGTAAAACTGGTGCTTCTGGTCAAACTCTAGAAGAGGCCAAAAAAATCAACAAATCATTATCAGCGTTGGGTATGGTAATTAACGCCTTAACGGATGGAAAGGTAATAATGAGAAATAATAATATTAATTTGTCTGTGGCTACTTTATTTCTCATTGCTCAAGTTACAATCGTTGCTTTTTCTTCAAGTCAACACATATTCCATATCGTGACAGTAAGCTTACTAGAATTCTTCAAGAATCCCTTGGTGGTAACTCCAGAACAACTTTGATTATAAATTGTTCTCCATCATCTTTCAATGAAGCTGAAACGCTAGGTACATTAAGATTTGGTATGAGGTACGTAACACCTTTAATAATATTGTTAACTTATGTTGTATTCAATGTTAGCAAAATTCCAACTATATTTTTGTATATTATAGAGCCAAGAGTATTAAGAATAAAGCTAGAGTCAACGCTGAACTTAGTCCTGCTGAACTTAAAGCACTTCTCAAGAAAGCCAAAAGCGAGGCTGTTAGCTTCCAACAATATATTTCAGCTCTGGAGGGAGAAGTCGGTGTTTGGCGTTCTGGTGGTTCGGTTCCAAAAGAAAAATGGGCCTCTATGGACAAAGCTGGTTCAGCTCCAGCTCAACCTCCAACACCAACTACTCCAGCTAATCCAGCTAATCCAGCAATTGAAGCTGCAAAGAAAGAAATGGATTCTCGACCGGGTACACCTGTACCTATATTAGAGAAAGATGAGCGAGAAGAATTCTTAAAAAGAGAAAATGAGCTTACGGATCAAATTGCCGAAAAAGAGACAGCATTAGCAGCTCAAGAGAAAATGTTGTCCGAAATGAAAGAAGAGCTTGGGTTGTATAAGGAACAAGAAGAAACGATCACAAAGGTATTTTATATTATTGTATAAAAGATGCTCCTATCCAATAACTGCTTAAGCCTAGATCATGCTGACTTTGAGTTAAATGCCAAACGACTTTTTTTCTGAACCAATTAGCTGATTGAGTCTGAAATCACTAATCAATCAAATATTAGTGGTAAATTAGCCTGATAACCTAGAAAATTGTAGATAATTAAATGTTTTCACCAAACATATCGGTTCAGAAAAGTCGTCATGATCCTAAATTGGATCACAAAAAATGATATACTTACATGAATCTTTTGTATTTTCAACAGGAAAATAAACAAATGGCAACCGAGCTCAATGATCTTAAGGTGCAATTAGAGAAGGTTACGTATGAAAATAAAGAAGGTTCCATTACAATGGACAGTTTGCGTGAAGCTAATGTGGAATTATCCACCGAATTAGATGCACTTAAGGTAAATCAAGTATCTTTTCCCACTATGTTTGATAAAGTTAATGGATCCCTATTAAATAAATTTTATTGTCCTTATGTAGAAATCACTTTCAGATCTCAGACTTGCTCAAAAAGAAGGTGATAAAGAGCAAAAGAAACAAGAGAAAATGGCTGCTATGCTTGCCGAGCTTGATCCATCGGGCGTTATTTCAAAAAAGGAACAACAAATTCGGGACACCTTACATAAGCTCGAGACTATCGGTGGTGAGAACAATACAACTCTTACGGTGGAAGAACTTTCAACATTACGACGCGAATTGGCCGATTCGAAGAATTTAGTTGCACAACATGAACAAACAATTAACGAATTACATTATGAAAATGAACATTTGACAAGGAAGAGAGATGAACTTGAAATTCGCTTGACCACACTTGAACTTGAATACGAAGAATTGTTAGGTAAGAATATATATAATACAAACGATAACTTTATTCAAGTAATAAATTCATATACATAATTTCTTTGAAATATAAATTTTTTAGATAAGACAATTGCTGAAGAGGAGGCAAACAATAACATAGACATCACCGAGACGATAGCAGAATTAAGAGTAAGTTATTTTTCACGATGTTTTTAATTACTGTATATAATAATCAATTATCAATTAATAAATTATTATTGATATTTTTAAGGGCAAATTGGAAGCATCATTTGTCGCTAAGAAAGAAGTTCAACAAAAAGAAATTGATGAATTAAAACAAGAATTAGAAAAGAAGAATGAAGAATTACACAAACTAAATAGGTTGGTTGTTAGTTAATTCATATTCCGAATAATATTTATTTAACATGTCTCCTTTATGAGTTTACTAACATATACTATAATTAAACGTATTGTAGCGCTCTTGCTGATTTGAAGAGAGCTAATGAAGAATTACAGGTAAAAGTATTTCCGAATGACAAAACGGTGAGAATCTTTTCATATTAATTCTTGTTTGATCACTTATGTCATATCTCATCTATTTGTAAATACGCAGAATGCTATCAATGATAAGGAAACAAAATCTGAAGGACAAAAGACCGTTGCGGAGAAAGAAAAAGATATGGAACGTATCCGCAAGACAATGGCACAACAATTGGCCGATTTTGACGTCATGAAGAAAGCTCTTATGCGAGATTTGCAAAATCGTTGTGAAAAAGTTGTAGAACTTGAAATCTCATTAGATGAGACAAGAGAACAATATAACAACGTTTTGCGTAATAGCAATAATAAAGCACAACAAAAAAAGATGGCATTCTTAGAAAGGAATTTAGAACAACTCACAAATGTACAGAAACAAGTAAGCTTCTCTCAACATACATTAATCCTGAATTTAGTATAAAAAAATTCTATGCTGAAAAAAAAAAAAATTATTTTTTTTCCAATTTTTCTTTTATAGCTAGTAGAGCAAAATTCATCTCTTAAGAAAGAAGTAGCTATCGCAGAGCGAAAACTTCTTGCCCGTAATGAACGTATCCAGGCTCTGGAAGCCTTATTACAAGATGCACAAGAAAAATTAACCACACAAAATCAAAAGTAAGTTGCGTCAAAATATGTGAAAATATATTATATTTAAATTCTCTAAATCGGTATACTAACTTACTTTACTTTAAAAGATTCGAAGCACAATTACAAGCAGTCCGAGAACGTCTGGAACAAGCACGATGTATGTATAACCATTATTATTATGATTCACATAATAAAATATCTTTAACAATTTATTAACGATTATAAAAATTACTAGCCCAAAAATCGAATTCCCTTTCCGGCCTAAGTTTCGGTCGCATTGCCAAACCACTCCGAGGTGGTATGCCAGTCCACGAAAGCAATGGGTATGGTTCTATATAAATTCACTGATTTTTTGTAATATAAACATATATATTAATATACTTACGTTGAATCTTTTAATTGCATAGCATGGACGGTAAGATTCGCCACAAGTAGTCAAAAAAAAAAAAACTAGTTATTCTATTTTTACTTTGGGCACTTTAATAAAACATAATAATTCATTTCCTATATATTATTATTATTATTATTATTATATTATTATTATAATAAGCCCAATCACAGGCACGACGATCATCATTATGGTTACCCTTCGCTAATCGTCAATCATAATAATTATACTATGATAGTTTTTATTTTATTATTTATTATTGTATACACTTTTATTACTTTTTTTTATATACACCCCTTTTATTTCATAAATTCTCTAAACTTCCTTATTCTACTAAATTGACCATTATTCGCATCCTACTTTTTATTTGTATTTTTTTTTTTATTTGAATTTTTTTGGAGAAATTTTTAGAAATTCATCTGGTTATTTTCGTTTAAATATGGTTTTCGAGCTATTTAACATTTGGATGAAAATAAATTAAGGCATAAACCTTATTTCCGATTTATTATTAAAATTAAAAAAAGCAAATATTTTCAAATGAAATTTTGAAGCGTTAAAGAATTCACAGACTTTAAATTAAATTAAATTAATTGTATATAAAGTAAATAAATAATAAATAGTGTTAAAGTAACCTTATTGCATCTGGGTTTCTATAATTAAGATAATTTATATTATACAAGGTTCTTTTTTTTTTACTATATACATAAAAAAAAATCATCAAAGCAAATAATTAAATAAAAAAACTTCTCGCAAAAGAAAATTTATTTTGAAACTGATTTAAAGAAGAATTTTCTAGGTTAAGGAGTAGGGGTAGATTCGGAAGATATTGTCATCGGTGTTAATCCAGGACTTTCTGCATTATAATTATTTGGATTACTAGTCTTTGATTTTGATTTCGTATTCACTTTGCTCGCTTTTGTAGAGGTTACTGTAGATGAAGTTGAAGAACTCCCTCGCGAACGAACTTCGATCCGGCCTTTTCTCTTTGGAGAAGACTCAGTCGATGAAGTTGAAGATAATGATAGAGATGAATCATCTTCGACATGAATTAAAGATTTTAATGATTTAGCTATAGGAGTTGAATTTTTTGAAGAACTACTACTTACTATACCACTGGTAGAAGCATCTTTATTAATTTTTTTCTCTTTGCGACGTTTGTGTTTTTCCAATAATCTTTGGATTTCTAAATATTTTGATTCGCTTTTAATAATCGTTTTATTTCCTTCATTAACTTTAGTCTTTTGTTTTTTAGCTTTTGTTTCTGATTGCTGAGAAGAAGGTTGTCTTTTTGTTTTTTTTGACATACTGCCAACAGCTTCACTAACTGACGACGTTAGTTTCTCTTCTTGCTTAATGGCTTTTTTGCCCTTTGATTTTGATGTTGTAGCATTCTTTCTTGTTCTTGACTTGGTCGGTTTATTTAAATTTTTATTTTCATTATTTTCAATTGTCTCAGTATTGGAAGTGATAGTGGATGATTTATCATTTGATATTTCATTATTAAAGAATTGAAGAATATTTTCAGGTGGATTTATATTAGTTCCAGCACCAAAAAAACCGGGAGTAGTACTTTTTCTTGAGATTGCGTAAAATTTTGGTTCGGGACGTTTTTCAACGGCCATATGTTCCAAAAAATCTGCGGTTTCTGATACTACAAAATTTTCTAAATCCATTTCATCCAAATTTTGTTCTAACGAAGAATTATCACTAGTAAAGAAGTTTTGATTATTCATTGTTATTTCAGCCTTTGGTGGATTAATCAAGTCGGGAAAATAAATTACATTATTTCCTTGACCTTTTTTTAAAGGTACTTCAAATCGAAGTATTGCTGTTGTTTCTTTTAAATCATTTTGTAAAATTGTTGAATTTGTCTTTATAGAAGTTTCTTCCATTTCATGAATTAACATAAAAAAAAAAAAATAAAATAAATAAAATAATAATTTTTTTCAAAAAGAACGAAAATTTTTGTGGCTTAGTCGTTCGGTAATACTGGATTATCGAAAATAAAAAAAAAAAAACGAATCCCAAATTTTTAGTGGCACAGTAAGCACGGCTATTAGACCTTTTTGCAATAGAAAAGGGGGAAAATCTATACACGTGCACACTGAATGATGAGAAATCATGTGCGGAAATGGTGTTGGGTAGTGCGCAAAAAAAATTTTTAAATTAAATTCACCAAAAATTTTTATAAAACTTTCATTTTTATTGAATATTTCATTATTTGTTTAACTATTTTCCCATTCTTGTTTTCATTAAAGTACGCAGGAAATTTTTCACTAGTAGCCAAAAAAAAAAAAAAAATTCTGCCAAAATTTTTAATTTCATTATTTCCATAATATGTAGTCACTTTCTCTTTGAGGTAAAAATTTGGTATCGAAATTCTTAGCATGTTATAAATGTTTAATATTTGCTCCAGAAATTTTAAAATAAAAGAAAGTATACTGCTAAAATGAATATTATTATCTACTATATATTTATATAGAATTGCTCCATTTGTCAGAGGGACTTCTTCAGTTCCAATAAATTGTGTTTTGATAGCTGAAATCATTTGTTTCTAAAGGATGTTTTAATTCTGAAAGATCTGTATGATTACGTTAAAAAATCTTGATCATTTTTGATAAATGTACATTAAACCTGCTAAAAACATTGTTGATATAATAAATTCTGGATCAAGATTACCAACTAATTGAGAAGCCCGATCCTATTTTTAAGATTTTCTGCATTGACCATATCATCATTAAGAGTATTAATAACTGAAAAAATAACTTGGAGATTGTGTATAACATTAAACATAGATAGATAACTATCTTGTATTAATAATATTTAATATGGTAAGTTGTGAATCTTCATTAACTTCTTGCATAAGCTTATAATTTTGCATTTATTTGTATAATAAATTCTTAAAAATATACTACATCTTTTACAACATCTTGTTTAGCTAAATGAAATCTATATGCAATATAATGAACAGAAATCATGAAATAAATTTTGGTATCATGTGTATCGTTATATCACATATATATGTAATATATTAATCATGATAAATTAACTGATTTAAGCTTTTTTTTAGCTTTTTTATCCTTTATCCTTTTTCTCTCTTTCCTCTCTTTTTATGACATTTTGATCCCTATACTCTCATTTTATACTGTTTGTCTTATTTTATATAAGTATGGATGGTAAGTGTTATACTTTCTTGAGAGAGAGTTATGTTTTGTTTTTCTGTTTAATTTTTTTATTGAAGACAATCGAAATAAAATGAATATAGCAGATTTTCTATATGAAAAACAACAACAAAATAATAAAGAAAATGAAGAACAACAATAAAATAATGAATTCAGAACTATTCAAATTAACATGGGTGATGCTTTTTTATCATGAGAAAATGCAGAGACAAAAATCAATCAATATGTAATATCACTTGAGTTTTCTTTATATTGTAAACGTGTTGAAACTGAAGATGAAATTATACAATATCGCATATTTGAATATAGCTTTTCTGGTAATCAGATTTCAAATCAAGTGATTGATATATCTTATTAATGCCATCGATCATCTAGAAAAATTATATGCCTATGGCACATAAATCTTACAATGCTTAAATTATCATCAACAATAGAAGTTACAAGTATCACTAAACAATATAATCATTCTATGATACCTGATGCACAATTGTTTATTTCTAAATATTGCAGATTGTCAAATGATATATGAAAAAATAAATTTTTATGTAACTAAAGGAAACATAAGAGCGAAACAAATATATCTATTGTTAATTGCAAGTTTTTCTAATCAAATAATTCATAAGAGAGATCTTTATAATACAATTCAGAAGTTTAAAGCATTACTTATTAACTGAAATAGAGATATATAAAATATGATCAATAAATTATTAAAATTAAAGGATTAAGATTCTGGTTGGATTGTTTATACAAGAATTGATCTATTTGATAACTGACTTGTAGGATTATTTTGGATGTTGTCTACCTAATATCAATGCCTTATACGATATAATGATATTATACAAACAGATAATACATGCTGAACTAATTAGTTTAATATGTATTTAACTCTATTGATTGTAGTGAACAATAATACTAAAAGTCATCTTGTTGCTCAATGTTTGTCAAAAGATGAAATTAATGAAAGTTATGAATGGTTTCTCAATTATATTCTTCAGTTAACTGCTAATATTCAACCTGTCTGTTTATTTTCAAATGCAAATCCTGCTTTAATAAATGCAATTTCTTCAAAAATGCCTATACTCATCACTTTCTTTGTATTTTTCATATCTAAGAAAACTTACAAAAAAATTTATCAAGCAAATTGGGTTAAAATTATAAAATCTTTTATAAAGATTTTTTACATATTCGCAATAGCTTATTTGAAGAAGATTTTCATCACTAATAGACATGATTAATTGAAAATTATCCTATAGCTCAAGAATATTTTAATCATAGTTTAAATAATTGCTATCAAACATAAGCAAGATGCTATCAAATTAAATATTTTATAGCTGATATTTAAAGTACATTATGAGTTAAAGTTATAAATCATTTAATTAAAAAGATACTAGTAGTATAACTTCATTATATTATTTACATGATCAGATTCAAAGATTATTAGATAATGAAGCCAAATGGGTTTAACATAATGCATATCTTTAAAGTCTTCCAACTAGTCAGACACCATTAATTATTGAGCCTATATTTCTTAAGGTTATTGAACTAATTAAAAAATATTTAACATCACATATTATATCAGTTCAATATCAACAAATTACTAGATTATTGTTATATTAAGCTACATTTATTTTCAAAGAATCTATTAATCATAATAAAGATATATAAAAATTAATATTAATTTATCAAAGTTAGTATTAAGAAACCAAATCTATAGTGTGAAGTATGAGGATGCGTAAGTTAAAGGTTGAAGTTAGAGTTAGTATTAGAGTTGAGTTAATATTAATTTAGTTTTGTTAGGTATTAACCTTCAAAAAGAAGAGTTAGAGAGTTAGAATTAGGATTAGGATTAGGATTAAGGTTAGGATTAGGGTTAGGGTTAGGGGAAGATATGATGACTGCTATACTGAATGTATAGAAATAGGTCATCTAAACAGTAGTATAAGTTACTAAAAAAATTTAAAAATTGATTTTAATGCCAACTCTTAAAACAAATCACTAATTCAACAAATTAATTTGCTTTATTTTTTAGGATTTAGATGACTTTGATGCTGGATTTCTTGAAGATAAATTGGATAGACCTCAAACTTCTCTTTTCTTTTATTAGAAGAAGTACAATTAACTAATATTTTAGAAGTCTGAGAACTTTGTAGTCTTATCAAATCTTATAAGCATTATGTTATTTTATTAATAGACAGAGGTCACTTATGCACATGTTTAACTATACTTAATTGTGAACTTGTATATTCACATTTTTTTCATGTTATAATGTATTCAAAAGTAATAAAATTCAATATTAGCCTTATTTCCAAGTGATATTATCAGAAAGATATTTAAGATTAGAATATTCAACAAGATGAAACTGTAAAAATTGTAACACAGTTTCAGCAAAATAATAACTATGAACTATTGATAACCAATTTACATATTTTAATTAACTTAAGACACCAGATATGTTTACAATTGAAGTTAGATAGTATATACAAAGAAAGGTTAAGTATGCATATAGATTTGGAAAAATCAAAAAAACCTTCAATTTTGTACTTGATTTAAGTTGTAAGAATGAGTTTATTGATATGGTTAATAAATTTATTGATGAAAAAAAAGTACTATTAATAAAACTGATGAAATGCAAGTAAATTTGCAAGTTTCTGATCCTATTATTTAAAAGTGACATGATCATCTAATACAAAAACATATCAAATCATCATTTGAAACTAATTCACATAACACTAAAAATAGTACAATTAATCTTTCTGATTTGAATTTATTTGTGCAACAATAATATATTCAGCAAACTTTTTCTTTGTGTTCTCAATATTAACAATATTGAAGAAAATAATAATTCTATGCTAATTACAGATATAAGTAAATTTAAACGGAAACATATATGTACAGTTTGTGAGCAATTAAGTCATAATGTCAGAAACAAAATAAGAAATTTATCTTTTTTTTTTACAAATTTATCATACTCATTTTTTATATTTATTTTGATTAATTTATATTAAAAGAAATATTACAGAAAAGAACAAGGAGTGCAAAAAGGGAAAAGTTTAAAAAATATTGATTTTTTAATTTTTTTTAATTTCTATTTTTTTTTTAATTTTTAAATTTTTATTAAGCAAAGTGTAATAAACATAAATAATTTTAATATACAGATTGTATTGCATAATAGAAATGTATTATAATAATTATAATATATGATAATAATGATTTATTTTTTATTATGTATAATACTCTGAACGGTTTGGTTCAGTCTGGATTATAGGCCAATCTAAAACTGAACTAAAAATTTTGGTTCAGTTCAGTTCAGATTATAAATTTTAAAAATGCCAATCCAAAACTGAACTGAATTGTAAACTGGTAAAAATTTGAACTGAACTGAAAATTTCAGATTAATCTGAAATTTTGGATCGTTTGAAACAATCCTTTTATTGTTCTTTTGGAATAATAATTTAATCGTTTCAATCGAATGATTTTTTTATTGTTTATTTGGAATGATAACTTCAATCATTTCAAATAAATGATTCTTTTATCATTCTTTTAGAATGATAATTTAATCGTTCTAATTGAACGATTCTTTATTATTCATTTGGAATGATAATTTAATCGTTCTAATCAAACAATTTTTTTATTATTCTTTTAGAACAATAATTTAATTATTTCAATTGAACAATTCTTTTATCGTTCGTTTAGAATAATAATTTAATCAT